TTTGTAACTTTAAAGTTTTGCTTAGAAGGGGGAATCCTCTGTGTTATAAATCTTATTACCCTGTAAAATTATCTTCCATCCTGATTTTACAGAGGTGCTTCTTTTACTTTTTCTTTATAATAAAGTTCTGCTTTTAAGAACCTGATTGGTTTTTAGTGTCCTAAAAACCCAAGGGCAGGTCTGTGCCCACTTTGTTAACCTATTTGGTTGGTATATTATTCTCAAGCCTCCCCAGAAAAGGGGATGAAGGAGCTTGGGGGGGGGGAACAGGAACTCCAAGTGGTTATTTTCCTTAAATCTTTGTTTAACCATATTTAACAATCTTTGGTGGTGGCAGCAGTACTCATCCAAGGACAAGGAAGGATTTGTGCCTTGGGGAAGTTTTAACCTAAGCTGGTATAAGTAATCTTAGGGGGTCTTTCATGTGGGTCCCCACATCTGTACCCCAGAGTTCAGAGTGGGGAGGGAACCCTAACAGGGGGTAATTAATATTAGCAAGCATAGCATTCCAATATCATGATGATGAGTGCAAGCTGGATAGACAGATGCCTTTATTCTCCATTTGACAGCTGCTCTCTCTTCCTAGGACTTTTTATTTTCTTTTTCAATTATGTTTAAATTCCATCCAGTCAGATTTTCTTATAATTTATACTGCCTAGAATTTTAATCAATTAGGATTCATGAATTTGAGAATATCCAGGTCTAAGATTTCCACCCACGATATTAGAACTGTTCCTGAATTCCATACCACTTCAACTAACTTTAAACTACAAAAATTAAACATAAAAGTGTTTCTCATACTGCACTTCAGTCATGTTCCAAACAGGCATTACATTACAATTACTACAGTCGGGCCTCGATTTACACAGTGATTATGTTCTTGAAGAAACACCGTGCAAATAGAAATCGCGTAAAAAGATACCAAGGGTCTATGGGAAATAAGGGTTTAGGTTCCAGGCTCACAAGATGACCTCCCTAATATATCCAATACAGGTTTTCTTAAAAAAATGTAATGAAATTTAAACTTG